AAAAAAACCGTCATGATCGCCATGCCCGTTATACACCTTCATGGCGCCATGACCATGGCGGCCGCCATATCGAAAACGGCGGAAACCGCCATAAAGCTTTCATATAACGGATGGCGAATGGCGGTTTAAGCTCAAACCGTTCCGTTTTTCCGTTATAACCCCGTTATAACCGATTTTTGACAACCTTGTATCTCACAGATATCACTATCTTGTTTTTCATCAATAATACAATCTACTGAAATTCTCTCAACTCTTTCTCTCATAGAGACCTTGCTTCTTGGCCATGAATCTCGCCTTGACAAATTCAAAAAGAAAGTTGTTGCATCTATCAATGTTACTACCCCCAACCCTGATCCCTCTTTCTCGCACCCACAAGCAAATCTTGCTCACCAAGAACCTCGACCTCAATTTGCACAACGTCGCGGGGGTCGCACAAATTTTCGTGGTGTACGTTTTCCTAATCGTGCTGGTCACGGACGAGGTAGATTTGTTGGATTCCAATGCTAGGTCTGCCATCGCTATGGACATGTTGCTTCTTCTTGTTACTACAGATTTGATGAGACTTTTGTCCCAACCTCCCCACTGAATGCACCCACGTTTCCCTCTACTAACCACAATACTGATGCGGGTTCCTGGTACAACAGTCAAACTGTTCCAGGCCACCAACATGCTCACCCTCCACCCCACCAACATGGCATTCTTGGACCCAAACCACAACCCCCCCCCCACAAGTTCACTTTGCCTCCTCACATGCTCAACCTCAAGCCATGATTGCCTCATCTTCCTCCTCGGGTAACAACACTTGGTATCCGGACTCTGGGGCTTCAAACCATGTAACCAATGTCTCTCAAAATATTCAACAGTTTACTCCTTTTGAAGGACCAGATCAAATTCACGTTGGTAATGGACAGGGTCTTCATATTAATTCCACAGGTGTCACTACTTTTCCCTCCCCGAAAAATCCTAATTTTCATTTTGCTCTCAACAATCTACTGTTTGTTCCCTCCATTACCAAAAACCTAATCAGTGTTAGTCAATTTTCAAAAGACAATTCTGTCTTTTTTGAATTTCACCCTTCCGTTTGCTTGGTAAAATCACAGGATACTAAAGAAATCCTTCTCCAAGGCTCGGTTAGTCCGGATGGTCTGTATCAATTCCCTGCTTTGCTTCCTGCCACCAGCAAACAACCTGTCCAGTGTTTTCAAACTGCTACATCTCCCTCCGTTAACATTGCCGGCCACAAATCTGTTTCTTTTGCCACTTGGCATTCTAGATTAGGTCATCCTAATGTTGATGTAATGAAACTTGTGTTCCGAAACTTCAACATTCAATCTATAAACAATATTGATTCAGATTTTTGTTCTTCTTGTTGTCTTGGCAAACCTCATAGATTACCCTCAAGTCTGTCCAAAACTGTTTACACCACACCTTTTGAATTAATTTTCAGTGATTTATAGGGACCTGCACCAGCCACGTCTACATGTGGCTATCAATATTATCTCACCTTTGTTGATGCCCACACACGTTTTACATGGATCTATCTTCTCAAAAACAAAGCCCAAACTCTTAATGTTTTTAAGCAGTTTCATACTATGGTTAAGAATCAATACAACCAACCGATCAAAGCCTTACAAACGGATTGGGGTGGTGAATTTCGCCCCTTTACAGCGTATCTCAATGATGCTGGCATTCAACATCGTCCCATATGCCCACACACTCATGATCAAAATGGGGTTGTTGAACGAAAGCATAGGCACATTGTTGAACTTGGCCTCACCCTGTTAGCCCAAGCTAATTTGCCTATGGAATTCTGGGATCGTGCCTTCCTCACTAGCGTTTATCTAATCAATCGACTTCCCTCTTCCTCTATTCAAAATGTGGTTCCCTATTACAAACTTTTCCACCAAAACCTGGATTATCACTTTCTCAAAGTCTTTGGCTGCTCTTGTTTTCCACATCTTAGGCCTTACAACCACAACAAACTCTAATTTCGATCACAAGAATGTGTTTTTCTGGGGTACTCAACATCTCACAAAGGCTACAAGTTCCTTGCCGCTGATGGGCGTCTCTATGTCTCTAAAGATGTTATATTTAATGAAACTAAATTTCCCTACCAGGATCTCTTCTCTCCGACCACTAGCCATGCTTCTCAAAGCTCGATTCAGGTTCCTCTTACTGTGACCCACACTCAAACATCTGCACCCTACCCCTCACCAATGCCCTCACACGAATCCAACTCAATTCCCGCTAATCAAATGCCACCCACTATGGAAGCCGAGCCTTACACACCTGCAACCTCACCAAATATGTCATCTGGATCCTCTCAAGCCATTCCCACGGGTACTTCTCCAACCAATCTATCCGTCCCCACCTCACCTGTTCCTGAATCTGCTACACAACCATTCATTCATCCTTGCAATGTTCACCCTATGACAACAAGAGCAAAAGATGGCATTGTCAAACCCCGTCCTCAACCCACACTTCTATTAACCCATGTTGAACCCAAAACAATCAAACAAGCCTTATCCAATTCAACTTGGTCTGCTGTAATGCAGACAGAATACAACGCCCTACTTAGTAATGACACATGGTCTCTAGTTCATCTACCCCCACACAGAACAGCCATAGGCTGTAAATGGGTCTTTTGTATCAAAGAAAATCCTGATGGCACTGTCCAAAAATACAAAGCCCGTCTTGTGACTAAGGGGTTCAATCAACAATTTGGATTTGACTATAATGAAACCTTCGCACCTGTCATCAAACTTGTCACTATTCGCCTTATCCTTACTCTTGCCTTAACCCATCATTGGCCTCTTCAACAACTAGACATCAATAATGCCTTTTTAAATGGCACCCTTGATGAAGAAGTATATATGACTCAACCCCCTGGATTTGAAGCTTCTGATAAAAACCTTGTCTGTAAACTGCACAAAGCCATCTATGGACTCAAACAAGCACCCCGTGCTTGGTTTGAAAAGTTAAAATCAACTCTACTGCAGTTTAACTTTCAAGCAAGCAAGTGTGATCCATCCTTGTTCGTCTACTCACATGCCAATAGTGTCATCTACATCTTGGTATATGTAGATGACATTATCATCACTAGCAATGATTCAACACTTCTTCATACACTTGTTTCTCAACTTCACTCCACCTTTTCCCTTAAAGATCTTGGTGATCTTGATTACTTTCTAGGCATTGAAGTAAAAACACAATCTGATGGCTCTCTCATCCTCACTCAAAGCAAATATATTCGGGATCTCTTAAACCACACAGATATGGAAGCCTCAAAACCTTTTTCCTCTCTAATGGTTAGTGGCTGCAAACTTTCAAAAGTTGGCACTGAAGATTTTCTAGACGTGTCTCTCTACCGTTCAATCGTTGGTGCATTACAATATGCTACCATAACACGACCCGAGATTAGCTTCTCAGTAAACAAAGTCTATCAATTCATGTCTCATCCTCTTGCCCATCATTGGTCAACTGTTAAACATATTCTCCGCTATCTAAAGGGTACTACCTCTTGGGGTCTCCATTTGCAGCCAGCTCCATCCAACTCCCCTTTATCCATTCACGCCTACTGTGATGCAGACTGGGCGTCTGATCCTGATGATAGAAGATCTACGTCAGGAGCCTCTATCTTTCTTGGAACAAATCTTGTGTCCTGGTGGTCCAAAAAGCAACCTGTTGTTGCTCGTTCCAGCACTGAAGCAGAATATAGAAGCCTTGCTCTTGCCACAGCGTAAGTTACTTGGATACAAACCTTGCTCTCTGAACTTAAAGTTCGTCATTCACCTCCAATCATTTTCTGTGACAACTTAAGTACAGTGGCCCTTGCTCACAATCTTGTTCTTCATGCTCGCACCAAGCACATGGAATTAGATCTGTTCTTCGTTCGAGAAAAAGTAGTTGCCAAGCATCTTCAAGTTGTGCATGTTCCAGCCATAGATCAATGTGATGATGTTCTCACAAAAGCTCTCTCTCCGGCGCGGTTCTGTGTTCTTCGATCCAAGCTTCAACTAGTCGAGTCACCTCATCCTACTTGAGCTTGCGGGGGACTATTGGAGTATAGTTTTACTCCTTAATTATATATGTAGAATAGTAATGTAGATTATGTTTTATTCTTTTCTTTACTGTCACATTTATTGTCTTTATTATAGACCAACATAGATTGGCTCTATATAAACCCATCTTGTATTCATTGTTCGGTAGTGAAAAACATATTTTGCTTATTGAAATATTCTCTCATCTTCTCTCTTCCGCTCTCTCTCTCTTTCTCTCTCACAATTCTAATAGAAGTATTATTTATACAAAAGTAGTCACCGAATCTAGAGGAATGAACCTGTATTACAGTATTTAAAACATAAACTATATTAAGACTGAAATCTTAACTTGGAGCCAAGCTCCTTACAACTAAAAATGGAAGAAGAAAAACTGTAGTGAGAAAGGCCCGATTCCTCAATGATTCTTTGCAAATGCTCAGTTACCCCCAACCCAATTACCCACACCCTTTTCATATAATTCTTATATCTCCTCATTAATGATTCCCAAATCCCTTCTCCCTCACTCCCCTTGCCACATGTTACATAGTTATTTCTCTTTCTCTTTCCTCAATTCCATCCATGTGTTCCTCCTGCCACTACTGTCTCTGGTGTTACCTTTTTACTCCTTTTCTCATAGACTATCAAAAGTCATTAGTTTGGCAAGCCAATTAAAGTTTTACAATGTTACAATGCAAAAGAATACTTTTACAGAGATTCACACCCTCTAACAAGACAGAATGACTGAAAAAAAAAAGACATCTTGTTGAAACAACTCGTACTTTACTCACCCCCTAACAAAAGGGATGTCATTGTTATTATCCTATCACTGACTAACGGATGGTATATCTGTGCTGATGTCAATTCAATATAAACTTAAGCCTATAAGCCAACTCCAAATCTATCATCAAGTACATTAATGACACAAAAAAAAAAAAGTATGATGCTTGGTTAGCAACTTACATGAGAATTTTTTCGTGAAAAGTAACATGAGAAGAAATACAAGATGGATCTGCATAAAAGGCAAAGTGTGAACTGAATAAGAATGCAGTAACATCATGTTTAGGGTTTTAATTTTAATTTTGAGCACTTGAGTTGAGGTCCAACTAGTTCTTTGATACAAGTGCAATAATTTATGACTAATTTTATTTATTGACTCAAATGTTATGCTTCCATTTATTCAGTAGCAACCTTAAAACCATATGTTGCATGAGATGTAATCAAGGTAAAAGACACTTACATTGATGTTGGTCTTTTGAAAAACTGAAGGTCCCACACATCTTGAGGTATCACGCATGTATTTACAAAATCCTGGATAGAAGCATGTGATGTAATATTTATAATTAATAGTATTCTTGATTAATATAATATATATAGCTCACATTTGAGATTATATTACTAAGCAGCACCAAAGCAGCATCAACCTGCATCATCATGTCCTTGTCAAATTAAAATGAAAACTTATACAAAAATAGCAGAGAGAAACAATTTATAATTTATAACATAAATAGTAATAACAATAATGCTGATGATGATAAAGAATAAAATATCCATGAAATTGTAATGTGTATATTGTCTTACTCATACTTTAGTGGAAACTCTTTGTTTCCAAAAGTTTGTCTATGAAGCTCAAATCTAAAGCTAGCTACTTCCCTTTCATTAATCAAAACTATATCATCAGCAAAAAGCATGCAACTACAGGACGCTTGTTTCACGTCATCTTCGTCCATTACCAGGTTTATGAAGGAGGGAATAAATTTCCATGTTTGTTAGAAGGTTGTGCAAAAACATTCTTAGGTATCTTTTATTCCTAGGGAAGTTACATTCTCATGTTTTAGCCAAATTTTATTCACATGATAAGGGGTGAGAAAGTGATATTCCCATGAAAATATGAAAATTTATTTTCTATCTCACTTGTAACTTCCATTTTTATTTATTTATTTAAATGATTTTGAATTTTGAAAAATATTCCTATAAATGTTAAGATGTAACCAAACATCTTTTACATATGTAAGAGAAAATCAATTCCATTTTGTATTTCTATATTTTGTATCATAGTAGTCAATAGCGATTGTGGCGGCAAGGAAGTTCCATGCCACTACAGGGACCTTGGAGCGGAGTGGATTTATATAGCGGCCAGAGTTGACACAACACGATGGAGCGGAGTGATGGAAATCATGGTAGAGCAAAGAGACAATTTAAAATATCAAAAGATATCTCATTAAATTAGGGTATTTTTGCCTTTTCATTCGAATCTCTCTCTACACAGTTTGCCCTAAACCGAAAGTCCCTTCTCCTTTTATATTGAGTGCAAACTTCCCTAACACTCTATGACTCTCTCATTCTCTTCTCCGGCTCTCTCTTTGTTCGTCTTTTCCAACTCTCTCCATTTGTCTTCTCGAACTCTTTGTTCGTCTTCTCTATTCCTCATCTCCAATCATCGGTATTTTTTCTCTTTTTTCTCTGTTCATCTTCTTTCTTTTTTCTTATCTTTTTCTTTCTTCTCTTCTCTTTTTTTCTCTTCTCCGACATTCTTGTGCTTTCCTTCTTTCACTTTCCTTTTTTCTTTTTACTGTTCCATTTCTTTCTCTTTTTTCTTTTCATTTTTTTATTTGGGCATTTTTGTTCTTTGGTGATCAACAAAACAATGACTCAACCAAATGCTAATCAATCATAAAATCAGAGCTCAGGGGCTGGAGCTGCTGGTCCCAATCCCACACCATTAATCTTGACAAGGAAGAAGATTGAACTTTAATGTTTACTTTTTTAGTTACTTAGAGCTTTAGCATGTTGTTTTCTACACATTTTATGTTATGACTTATGTTTTGTTTGAATACTATGAACTTTTATTATTAAAAATGATTAATGCATGAATTTAGAGTTATTTTTCTGTTTTTTAGCTTATATATATATATATATATATATATATATATATATATATATATATATATTCTAGATCTTATATGTATATACTTGTTCGTTTCTGTGTAGTATTCTGGTGTGCTGTGCTGTGTGTATTGACCAGGCGGG